TGATAGCTGTTGACTAATCAAGTTGTGGTTGCTGAAGTCTGGGGTAGCTGTGGCAATTTCTTAAATAAGACAACAATGAAATCTGCCAAATCGATTGACTATTCCTTTCATGAAAGATTTCTCTATAGCATATGATGCTGGTGGATAGCATTCTACCGACAGTAAAACTTCTTTCAAAATTGAAGTCAATCCTCTCAAACCACTGCTTTACCAACTAAGTTTATGTAATGCTCTGAGTCCTCTGCTGTCATTTCTACAATGCTCACAGAATCTTCACCAGTCATAGATTCCATCTCAAGAAACTACTTTCTCTGCTCATTGACAAGGAGCAATTCTCAAGCATTCAAGTTGTATGAGATTGCAGCAAGTCAGTCTTATCTTCAGGCTCTACTTCTAATTTCAGTTCTTTTACTATTTATACTACATCTGCAGTGACTTCCTCCCCTGAATTCTTCAACTCTACTGTCATGCATGAGCGTTGGAATCAACTTCTTCCAAACTCCTGTAAATGTTGATATTTTAGCCTCCTCCAATGAATCACAAATATTCTTAATGGCATCTAGAAACCTTTCCAGAAGTTTTCAGTTGACTTTGCCTAGATCTATCGGAGGAATCACGATCTATGGCAGATATAGCTTTATAAAATATATTTCTTACATAATAAGAATTGAAAGTCAAAATCACTTTTTGAACCATGAGCTGCAGAATGTTGTGTTAGCAACATGAAAATATTAATCTCCTTATAATTCTCAACAGAACTCTTGGGTGTCCACATGCATTGTCAACGAGCCATAATATTTTGAAAGGAATCTTTCTTTTCTGAGCAGTAGGTCTCAACAGTGGGTTTAATATAGTCAGTAAACTGTGCTATAAAAGGATGTACTGTCATCCAGACTTTGTTGTTCCATTTATAGAACACAAGCAGAGGAGATTGAGCATAATCTTAAGGGCCCTAGAATTTTGGAATGATAAACAAGCATTGGCTTCGACTTAAAGTCACCAGCTGCATTAGCTGCACTATCCCCCAGCAAGAGAGTGAGCCTCTGCTTTGAAGCTTTGAAGCCAGACATTGACTTTTCCTCTCTACCTATGAAAGTCCTCCATAGCATCTTTTTCCAATATATAGGGTTGTTTTGTCCACATTGGTTGTTTTGTCCACATTGTAAATATGTTATTTAGTGTAGCCACCTTCATCAATTATCTTAGCTAGATCTTTTGGATAAATTTCACAGCTTTTATAGCAGCACTTACTGCTTCACCTTGCACTTTTATGTTATGGAGATGTTTCTTTCCTTAACCCTCATGAAACAACCTCTGCTAGCTTTCGATTTTTCTTCTGCAACTTCCTCACCTCTCTCAACCTTCTTAGAATTGAATAGTTAGGGCCTTGCTCTGGCAATCTGGCTTTTTCTTAAGGGACTGTTGTGGCTGGTTTGATCTCCTATTCAGACCACTCAAACTTTCTCCGTATCAGCAATAAGACTGTTTTGCTTTCTTATCTTCCATGTGTTCACTGGAGTAGCACTTTTAATTACCTTCAAGAACTTTTCCTTTGCATTCACAACTTGGCTAACTATTTGATGCAAGAGGCCTAGCTTTCAACCTATCTCAGCTTTTGATATGCCTTCCACACTAAACTTAATCATTCCTAGCTTTTGATATAAAGTGAGAGACACACGACTCTTCCTTTCACTTGAACTCTTAGAGGCCAATGTAGGGTTATAAATTGGTCTAATTTTAATATTGTTGTGTCTCAGGGAATAAGGAAGCCTCATGAGAGGTAGAGAGACTACGAAACGGCCAATCAACGGATCGGTCAGAACTCAAACAACATTTATCAATTAAGTTTGCTATCTCCTATAAGCACAGTTCATGGCTTATGTTACATAGTAATATCAAAGATCAATGATCACAGATCACCATAACAGTTATAATAATAATGAAAAAGTTGGAAATGTTGCAAGAATTATCAAAATGTGTCACAGAGATATGAAGTGAGCACATGCTGTTGGAAAAATGGCACTTATAGACTTGCTCAATGAAGAGTTGCCACAAATCTTCAATTTGTAAAAAATAATCCAATATCTCCAAAGCAAAATAAAGCAAAGTGTAATAAAATGAGATATGCCTGTTATCATTTTATAAATTTTGGCAGTCACCCGAGATAGGTAAAATGAGACTCTTACTCCCTAAAACAAGTGAGGATGTTGAGCCCCGTCTAGCTGTGATGAACTAAGGATGAACTAAGTATCAGAAGTAGAACTAGCATCTAAGACTTTTGATTCAGTTCAAGGTCTTTCTATTGTTGTCTTTTATCAGAAGCATCACATTGACATGGATATTTATTCATTCAATACAAACGAGTCAATGACAATTTAAATGGTCTGGTGCCTACCACTCTTCAAAGCGAGGCGTGCTATAATAACAGAAAGTTACAATTACCAGAGGTTGCAGTCCACAAAGGGAAATGAGGCAAAGATGCGTCTGCTAATCAATTTAGAAGTTTCACTTAAATAATCAATCAACCATTCTTTCAGAACTGAATCTAATCAAAAGATCTTAACACTTTTAGACCTGTATACAGGGATAACGTACCATAAACATTTTCTTCTTTTATTTAGATACCAGTGATGGAATTTCCCATCTGTTGCTCCAAAACAAGTAACCATCTTTTCAAAAACACAACAACAACATACATCATGAAAAATTTTCTTTGAAGGATTAATTTTAGATCATCAAGATTGCTAGCTGAAATAAATGTTCATTTTTCAGCAAGTCAAAGTGTGGCTTGGCAAATCCATGGGTGTTAGCATTAGGCTAAGAAAGGAATCTGGCTTGGAATTTTCAACATTTGGTTTTTCTAATCACTAATGCTGCAATGCTGTCCCATTTACAACCTGACATTTATTTTTGCACTTTCAACATCCCATGATTTTTCAGCAACAGTAAATAGCTTTAAGTGATGACACCTTGCCTTAGCCGGATCTATATTTTGACTAGCAGGTCTTGGCATTGTGGCCACCTCAGACACCTCTCAAAAATGTTGCGTGTGGGCAAAAATGAACAAGATTTAAAGGAAAAGGAAACAAAAACTCTATCACTCTAAACAACTTTAGGATATAATACACCTAAGTTCTTAGCTAACCTATTGTAGCAACCTCTAGTCATCATGATTGTCTCTTAGGATTCTAATTTTTCTTGATTTTTTTTCCCACAAAAATCCCGTTTTTGTGACGCTCTAAAGAAGGAGATGGTAAAATAAAACTTGGGGCGAGGAAAAGAGTATAAATAAAGCAAAATGCAAAAGAGAAGAGTCTGATTCAGTCACATGTAGGACAAACAGAATCACACCTGATTACTGTATTACTTTGTTTTCAACAACAGAATTTAGATTCAAGTTCCTAGGACTTAGGAGTTACCCACATTGGAGTATTTTTTTGTTTTTATACTGAAATTCAAAATATAAACTCATGAAAGGCCTCTAAAATTCCACAGAAATGAATATTTGCCTATGGGAGGAATTAAATAATCTCCCAAGAAATATTCTCTATCCACACAGGAGATTTTCATAATGTGAGGAAAATCTATAGTTCTGAAACATCCAATATTGTCTTTAGACTGTGTTTTTGTCCTATATGATAGAAAATTTCCCAAAATTAGAATACAAGAAGATTCATGTCATTCAAACATTACTGAAATCATTGAATATTACCTTGGGTATTCATAAGGTATAAGCATAAGTATTCATATGCTTTAGAATCTTCTGATACCTCAGGATTATCACTTATCTTTGGACAGAGTATAAGGACAATGCTGGTTATTGAGCTTTCTTTTGGTTTGAATTCTGGGAATACGGAAATTTGTGTCATGTTGACAGCTGACTTTCATGCCCTGCTGGCTGGCTTAGAAGTGTTTTGCATAAAAGCTTACACACTATACCCCCTTCATTAATAATTCATCCAATTTCTAGACAGAACTATACCACAACATAATCTTCTAAAATGTACTGTGTGCTGTCAGGATTGAAAGTAACACTGGAATTTTACATTCAAATGTAGCCTATCTAGAGAGAATTTTCCAAGGAGGAAAATTTTAAAAATACAGAGTAAGACAGTCACTGGAGAAATGTCCCAAGTAAGAGGGGGGTCCTGGAACTCTTGCCATTGTCTTGCATGTCTGCAGTGCTCCAATATGGGCAGCAGGGGTCGCTCCTGCACGAAGCAAACCCCCTACACGTGTTTCCTGGTTGGGAACACACAAGCTTTTTCTCTTAGCACTTGCCCCAAGTCCAAGGAGGCAGCCACTAAGGAGTGCTGCTGTCAATAAATTGTACAAGCTTAGGATGTGAGGTGAATACCATTGCTGAAGTGACCAGAGATGACACATGGGTCTGAGCCTACCTCTTGGAAACTGGGTAGTCAATTTTTATTTTATTTTGGTGGCAAGAAGGGTTAAAAGAGGCAGCAAGCAATGGGGCTGGGACATGGAGGGGATGAGTGTCATTAACTGTAAGAGGTGATCTCTCAAAGCAACAAGTCAGCATCAGTATTCCAGGGTCTGTTACAGTTTAGTTTGTAGGTTATATTCTCTTATATGTCAAATCAAAACCCTCTCCTCATCTCCTGACCTGACCCCAAACCCAGAAAATCACTTGACGAACTGGGTTTCCCATTATGCCTTAGGAGATGTGGCTTCTGCCAGGGTCTCCTGCACGTGGCTGCATTTTACACGTGAATGTGTGATGCATTTACTCCCTCTATGCCAAGTCCCAAGTATGTGAACTAGGTTGAAAAAAAAAAATCATTAGGAACAAGAAAGAGCCTTCTCTGTAAACTCAAACAAAAAACATGTTGCCAGGGGATTCCAAGGCAAAATCCCCTGCTCTAGCCCCTACCTCATACACATACTCACGCATACCCCACCCCAACAGCTAGCTCCCTCGTCTTCCCTGTCCCCAAATGAAGGTCTGCAAAAACATAGGCATAAACCTCAATACTCACCATATTCACTTCAGAAACCATATCGATGCTGGCAATGTCTATGTTCATTCCCACAGCCACGGGAGGACCTGAAAACCAAGATAGCCACGTGATTTTTCAGAACTTCATTCATTCTTTGCAAGAGTTGGCCTCAGGCATAGGACACTCTTTCCAAAACCCTTCTGCATTGCTCACACTCAAATTCTTCAATTTTCTGATCATTTGTACAAAAGGTGGCAAGCACTCACTCCTCTAGGAAATGCTCTATTGAATATGCACACACGTGTGCTGATGGAAAAGGGATTCCAGCTCCGTCTACATTATGTATACGTCTCAGCATGGGAATACATACAACACACAGAAGCACAAGAATCTTTCTAACCCAAGGGACTTTTATATATTGTTTATATGTTGCTCTGCAACCCCCTCCTCCTCATTCTTTCCCACCCGCCTTCCGTGTGCAGGTTTTAACTCTTTCAGCTTCAGAGGAAAATGAAGTAAAATTAAATTGGTCTGTCAGCATATCTAGGGCTGCAGCCAGAGGTCCTTCTCTCCTCCGCTCCCCACTCCCCCCTCCCATTTTCCCTCTACACTCCCATTCCCCAATCCTCCCCTCTTCTGTGAGGCTTGGAGAACTGGATAATATCCAGACATGAGCCACTTTAAACCATGGACAGAAGTACTCTTCCAAAGTAGGCGGGCACAGGGGGTTAATGCCACCTCTCAACCAATTGCCTGCACATCTTGTCCTCAAAAATGTTCAGGACGGCCTTCTGTAAGCCAGGTTCTCTCTGCACAACATTAACTAAACTTAAGAGGTTTATATCTCGAGGAAGCAAAAAACAGTGAAGCTAAGGATTTATAACAGCGAAGCTTAAAGACAACAGTCACTAAATTTGAGCACACACCAAGAGGAGCGCCTTGAAAGACCACCCAAGTGCTGGATAGTAACAGACCAGCTTAAGTTTGGATCAGTTTCTCCATATGGTAAAACAGAGACACATTCAGTTCACCACATGCACCCACAACTAGGGAGAGGGAGGAGAGCGCGCACAAAGCTCAAAAGACAGCTTCGGCGATAGCTGGACCGTTTCTGAATTTACAAGGCAATCCCATTACCTCCAAAATCTGGTCTCAGACGAATGTCATAGCCTTTCAGGAGTCTATCCACCGTCTCTTTAACCAGCGACATATTACTAGGGTCATTGACACTAAAGAAAGAAATGACAATAAACAGGCATCAATAAGAAAGCAGGCACAGCGTCTTGAGCATCTAATCCTTACTACATTTCCCTGCTCACAGAGGTATGCAGAGCCCTTCAAAGTGAGAAAGGAAAAAAGAGAAACGCTGAACAGCACTTACCTCTGCGCACAGACAGCGGCGATTATTAAGGGGAATGACCAAATCCCAAAGTAGCCTCTTTTCCGGACTCTCCACATCCCTTTAGTTTTTGAGGGGATTGAAGGTTTCACTGAAGAGAAGAGATCCAACTTAGTCTGCCCAGTGCAGTAATTCTAATGTGAGGCGCATGCGCACGGCGTACCAAAACATCAAAGGGAAGCGCGGCTGCCAGAGACCGAGCAGATATCCTTGTTTAAAAAAAAAAAAAAAATTAAAGGGGAAAAAGGAAAGGCATATATACGTATAATATAGACATATTTGAGTCGTATAGAAAAGTCACCCCCCAGGAGCATCCAGAGTAAATTCTTTGTTGTCCTTTCGTTAAGACAAAAACAACTACAGCGTCTGGTAAGTTTCGGTAGTTGCAGGACGCAGTTTTGCACCTCGCGGGTTGTGGGTTTTTGGGTGTGTGTGTGTGTGTGTGTGTCCTCTTAAATATGCAAAACCAGATTAGGATTTTAAGGAGAGCAGGTGTGGGGTGCGAGCGGAAGATGGGTGCCGGGAAGCCCACTTCTGGTCGCAGGGGGAGACAGGGCAAGGAGTTTGAACTTTGTTTCCTTGGCCAACAGCATCCCCTGCCCGGGGCAAGACGGGGACCGGGCGGTAGGGGTTGGGGGTAGGGGCGGTGCGGCGAGGCGCGGGGGAGGGGACTCTGCAGGAGTAGAAGGGGGAGGAAGGGAAAAAACCAATGGGAGGAGTGCTGAGCAGCCCGTTGGATTTGGGGCGGGCGGGGGGGCGGAGAATAAGAACGAAACGGAAAAATAAAAAAAGAAGAATTGAAAAGAAAAGAATAAAATGACTCCTGGTCTTTTTTAGCAGTCAAGGAGCAAGCTTTTCTTCACTACTCACGAGCAATTTCTTTCTCCTCTCCTCACCCTTTGCCCCCTATTCCCAGAGAAGAAAACCTCGGGGTCCTGGTTTCTCGCCGTGTGACGTTCCTGACCCGCTAGTCGGGGTTATTTATAGCAGCGGGGAGGGGGAGCGGCGAGGGGAGCAAAAAGGCAAGGCTGTCTCTCCAGGGTTCGGTCTGGTTCTGCAGTGGGAAATTATGAGTGGGCAGGGTGGGGTTTGCATGAGGGGGAGATGGGACGCGGAGGCGCGAGAGATGCGAGTGACAAGCGCCCCAGCACAGGTGCGGGGGACAAGAGGGCGTGGGCGGCTGCGCCGCGCGGGGAGGGCAGGTGGCCGGGTGGGACGCGCCCCGGCCGGGCCCCCCACGCCCCCGCAGCCGCGCGCGCCCCCACGTGCGGGCGTCCCCCCGCCGCCTCTTACCTCGCGGGCCCGCGCTCGCCGCCCACTCCCGCCGCGCCGAGCTGGCCCCCGGCCCCCGGCCAGGGCAGGGAGGCGGACGCGCGGCCGTTCGGGGTTGCGCCTCGGGATACAAGCCCGAGCGGCCCCTAGAAGGCAGGCAAAAGGAGCAAGGGTCCCCGCGGCCCGCCGGGGCACCGCGTTCTCCCGCGGTCTCCGCTCCGCCTCGTCCTCTCTTCCTTTTCCCGGGCCCGGGGGGACCCGCACACCAGAGGCTTCCTTTTCTCCTCACGCTCGAGGCTCGGGCCGGCTCTCCCGGCACCGGAACCCGGAGGAGGCTGCAAGCTTGGGCTGGAGGGCGGCGGGGGAGATACTCAATTCACAAAAGGAATCTTTCCTCCGCTGGAGGGAAAAAGAAGTGCCACTGGCGCTGGGAGGTGCTACGAGGTTGGGGGCATCCGGGCCGTCCCAAGGAGCCGGATCCCCGGGGAATCTCCGGGTACTACCGAGTTCATCTCAGCACGCGGGAAGGGACCGGTAGGGCAGGTGCTCCCGCCACCACAACCCTGAAACCCCACCTCCTCCACCCCCGGTGAAGAACTGGGAAGGCCAGAGCTCAAATCTTTATTCTAGGCACCAATGCTTAGCCTCTAACCACTACTACTAATGATAATCATTGTCACCGTTAACTGAGCGCCTACTATGTGCCGGCGTGCCGCATTAATTTATTCTTACAACAATAGCAGTGTTTAGCTATCACTTCAGTGTCCCCTTTAATGGATTTGGAAATTGGTGCACTGAATCTAAAGAACTTGTCCAAGGTCACTCAGGTGGCAAGAGGTGAAACAAGGCTTGCACTTCAAAGCCTGCGTGCCTAACCACTGGAGACACAGCCTCCACTCCGGACACCACCGAGTCCTCGACCTCGCCCGCTTCAGCTTCTCGCTACGACGGGCCGAGCCCGCGGAGCCCGCGGCAGCTGCGGGAGGAGCGGGCGCGCAGACGGGACGAGGCTTGTCCCTGCCGGTGTCTACGGAGAGAGGGACAGCGAGCCGGCAGGGTCGGCGGCAGGCGGCGGGCGTCGCTCGGCGGGCTCCGTAGCACCCTGGACTCGTCGGGGTCCCGGTCCCGGCTGCACTGTTGACCCACTTAACCTTCCAGTCACCTGTCCCCTGTGCCACCCCGGTCAGAGGGTCATTCTAGGGCAGCTTGAGGGGCAGGGGGCGTGATTCCACGGGAAGTGTGGAGGCGGGAGGGCTGAAGGGGAGAATCCCACAGTTCCCCTGGGATGGATGACAAACGGGAAGGGAAAGCTATGTGCCTTCTCCGACCAAGGGGGTTTCTGGGTTAGAGGCAGGTAGAACACAGCACCATAAACACAGTGCAGAGCTACAGCGTGGCGTTTTACCGGACTCCGAGGCTCATATGAGCCCATCCAAAGACACACACACACACACACACACACACACACACACACACACACACACACGGGGGTGAGGAGGGAAAGATCTGTAAGTCTCCCATCTGTGATTATTCGGGTCAAGTTACAGGCATTGGAATATAGACCTATGACCAAGGAAAACTGCTCATTTTCTTATCTTTTTCCTTACCATTACACACAATCGGAATCTTTTGCACAAGCAGGAAAAAAAAGGGAAAAAAGTTCAGATTATCATCATTGTACTCAAAGGATTCCCAAAGCACTTTGAGGCAGTAGTCACCAAATGATGAAGCCCTAGAAAGCTCCTCTCACCCTGGAAAACATCTCAAAATAGGGTTTTCGTTCTGACCTCGTTACCCATGTTGTACTTTCTGAACTACCAGCCCCTTCTACTTAGGCCCACTTCAGTTTGACTTGAGAAAACAAAATGCAGTAAACAGGACAGACCACAAATACTGTCACCCATCTAGAATAATAATAATGGCTTGGTGAATGAATAAACAATGTTTTATTGAAGGCCTATTAAATACGGGAAATTAAGGAAAGAAGGGCAAATAGTTAAAATAAAAGTAGCATGCATCTCAGCAAGTAAAATAGCATGGTGCAAACTGAGTGGATAGAGGAAGGGAGGTAATCCTTTTGAGTTCAAAGTCCAGCTCAAATACTTAGTAACTTTGTAACTTGCATAAGCCATTTAACCTCTCTAAGCCTCAATTTCCTCTTCTGGAAAAAGGAGAAGAAAAATAGTACCTTCTCCACGGGATTGTTGTAGAATGAAGTAAATATATGCATAGCATTTGACATGTGATTAATACATATTAGCAGTCTTTTAATGAATAAGCCATAATGAATGGACAGGAAAGGAAACAAGGTTTAGTGGCATTCAATTATGAAGATGGAGTAAATATAAATTTGGTGCAATAATTATAGATTAGCCTGAGAAGAAAGGAACAGACATTTCAGGGAATTAAGGTAAGGTTAAGAAGGAGCTTTATTAAAGACCAAAGCAGCAATGAATATGAGAAAAGATGAAAGAATATTTGTTTTCTTTGTGGAGTAACATCTCAGAAATATCTCTTATCAATAACTGTAACTTATGTAATTAAAAATATATTCTTTCTAGTTACAAAACCTAAGATCAACTTATGCTTAAAGTGGGTCTTTATTGTATAGCAGAATCAACACTGGACATCACTCTGGAAGAATTTGCTGATAAGGTTGCCTAGGAAGATGCAAAATCAGAACAATAATACAGAATCTGGAGTTGTGTCTGTTTCTGGAAAGCATCCTAAAGATCCCAAATGTAGAAAGAGAAAACAAAATGTAAGTACTCTTAAGGGATCATATTTCAAAGTTATCTCTTAATATGAAACATATAAATGCAAAGTAAAAAGTCACCAACCTTCAAACTCAGACTTGGAGGGGAGGGGGGGAAAGGGCAACATATGTAACCTAAACATCTGTACCCCCATAATATGCTGAAATAAAAAAAAAGTCACCAACCATCTTCCATTAGTCTTTACAATAATATTTATTTATTATTCTGTAAATATGATAGTGGGCTCCTACTCTTTGTCAAATATTATTGGATAAGCACGGGGGATGATATGCTAAAACAGCAGACATGTGGTCCTTATCCTCTTGGAATTTACACTCTAGTGTGGGAAAGAGCCATCACAGAAGTAATTACAAATATAGCAAGCAAAGTGGGAAAGACAGGAGATTATGGAATCCATACATGCTACAGATAACTCAATTTGAGGATTTGGATGAAGTGATGTTTCAGTTGAGATTTAAAAAATAGGATAGCCTGATGAAGAGTTGGGGGAAGAATCGTCTAGATAGAGGAAATATTATGTACAAATATCCTGGACCAAGAGAGAATGGCATAAATGAAGACCGAAGGAAGAACAGTCAGACTAGAAGATGGGCAGATGTGACTGTTGCCCCAGTTGAAGAGCTGGGCTGGAGCAATTGGGGACCATTAATGGGTTGAAGCAGAAGAACATCAAGTTGAGTTTTGATCACACTGGAGGAAGACAGGAATGGCTGTAAGGGACCTGGTAGGAAACTATTGCAGGAATCCAGATTAGAGGTGATGTTAGTCCGAATGAAGATAGTGAGAACAGTGAAGATGAAGAGAAGTGACCACACTCGTGTGGAAGAACTGGCTAAACTTTGTGACAGATGTGATACAGACAATAAAAGAGAATAAGATTTTAAGGATAACTCATACATTTCTGGTTTGAGCAACTCAGTAGAGGTGGTAAAAGAAGGTTAATGGGGATGATACATCCATTTTGGGTTGTGTTGAATTTAAGGTACCTGCTAGCCATCCAAGGTACACTGGACGTTTTGATATACACACCTGAAACTCAGAACTGAGAGCTAGGCTGGGGCCAATGCAAAATCTCTGTGTTCCCCCCGACACTGTATTTCCCTTTCCTAATTAAATTTTTCTCTTTATAACTGTGTAATCATAACCATATTTTACCCATTTTCTTTTCATCTTCCTGCATGGAAAGAAAGTTAAAAAATTGTGAGTTTTGTCTGCTGTGCTCATTGCTGTATTCCAATACATAGTGCACACAGCAGATCCCTAATACATATGTTTTGAATGAATGAGTGTATATTTGATGATCCTGAGGGTGCAAGCAACTTAAATCATGGGAATATGAAAAAAGTGAAAAGACTGGAAGACTTAGATGAGAAATTTCTAGTAAAGGGCAGTTATAATCATTGGAAGACTCAAATCAGGATTGGCCTCAATGATTGAAGGAAAACCAGTGTGGTGTGATCAAAGCCAAGGAAAAAGAATATTCTGATAATGGAAGGACTAGTCAACTGTATTAAATTCTTTCAAAAGTTTTTGAATTTTTGAATAGGTATTACATGTTTATGGTGTAAAATTCAAACAGTAAGATACTCTGTCCCTCTGCATTCATGATTCTCTCCCTAGAAACTTACACAATTTTTTTTTTTTTGCAGGGAGGGGGGAGTAGTGAGGTATCCTATGCCACAGCCTTTCCTGTGTTGATGAACATGTATGAAATATGTTCACAGATGCCAGAAAGGCCTCTCTGTCCTCCTGCTACTGAGCATCAGTGATGATGATTTTGGAGGAGATTCTCATGGAAGGTGGGTTATCTGTTTTGCCAAATTGTTTAAACTTTTGAATTTTTAATAATTTTAAAAAATGAATAAAGGATCTCTTAGCTTGAATATTGATGGTGGTCTTTGGAAATAGTATGCAGAAATTCCAGTAATATTGAAAAGTAGGGAGAAAGTCAGAAATAACATGTAGAAAGAAAATATATGTTTATTACTTTCAATACCTACAATAGCACAAACTTGCTAATTACTAATAAAATGCTGCCAAGTATAATGGCTTCCTGGACCTACTATAA